TGCCACGGATTATGTGCTTCTGACTTTCTCGGCTTGAGCCTGGAAGTACTTTAGCCTAGAAGTATATTCTGCTAATTTTCGAAGGAATGCGGGATTTAAGTTCATTGTAATTCCAAGCCACTATGGAAGACCATATTCTTCATACTCTGGGCATCCACGTAAGATTTAGTCTATAATGGGATAAGATTCTTATTAAGAAAGGTCCTTAGGTCTGTCCGAGTATTTGCATTGAGGTGTAGTCGAGTGATCGTATTCGCCTACGACAATGAGATGAAAACTTCCTCCCTGTTTGCAAAACGATGTTATGAACAGGGCTACTGAGGCTTTTCCGTTACACTGTTTTGTATCTTATTCTCATTGAGAAAGCCCCAATCCACTTGTAACCTTTTCATACAGACATCTGGTTGTGCGTCTGCGGAGCACTTGGACTCAGTCCTTCAAATAAGTCGTTGTGCTGCACTCGTCTACAACCTCTCGCCTTGTTAGCGATTTGAGACATTGGTTACCTCACACTCAAAATTTTACCACATGAAAAAGTGGATAACGTAACCCTCCCCCTTGATTACCGTCATTCCCGCTGGCTCACGTATTTTCGGTTTCGCACCGTTAGAAGCTGCGGTAGGCGCTCTTTCTAATCGTTTGTGCGCTAGCGACCATTGGGGAAAGTTCAAGTAGTTCGTAAACGCCGGTTGTGCTATCGTAAAGGGCGAAAGAATAAACTGGTTGGGAGTTCGATTCATCGACCTTTTGCTCGCCAGCAAAATCTAAAAGTACCAATGTGCATTTCCGCTTTGCAATTTCGTCCAGTCGCCCTTTAGCAGATATGGAAAACATTATGAGTGCAGCGAATCGAGACGAATGCCACGGCGTACACCTTATTCCAGATGGCCAGGTCGACCTTTCTTATAGGGCTGTTTTACAGCACGCATCTTTTTTCTGAGCAGCATTCGCTCGTTTCTCCCCCTCCCATGCAAAACTACAGTTTGGTGAGTGTGTGACACTAGCGACATCATGGGACAGCAAACTTCTCAGTTTTAGCGACTGTCTATGCGCGCAGTCGCGCCATGGATATCCTTTCCCCCTGCCTCCATTCACGCTGATGACAATCTACCATGAGATCTTCACATTAGTTTTTTTGAGAGCAGTA